TCATAAATATGAAATAATTACTTTTATTTATTGATGTGTGTGTAAAACTTACCTTTATTTAGAATGACTTTTACAAAAGGTTATTTAGATTTACTCGTAGATCAAAATAGTGTATTAGCGTCGTTGACTAGTATTAATTTACTAAATTCGTTTTATATTGATAAAATAATTTTCATTTTTTTTTTTATATATAATTAAGAAATGCTTTATGATCCGAAACAGGTGCCCTAATCCCGATTGCGGCAACACAAACTTTGCCTGGCGAGATCAGTGTAATCTATGTAAAAGTTTGAAACCAGAAGGCCTCAGTTATGGCGGCGGTGGTGGAGGCAGAGGAGGAGGTGGCCGAGGTGGCGGCGACCGAGGTAGCCGAGGAGGCTTTAGAGGTGATCGTGGAGGACGTGGAGGTGACAGAGGCGGCAGAGGTGGTGGTTTTCGTGGCGGAGACCGAGGTGGTCGCGGAGGTAGAGGTGGCCCTATGAGAGGAGGTGGCGGGTAAGATTTTCTTTCATCTTTTATTTAAAAAGCACAAGGTATGTGCCTTCAATTTCTGCACTTCTTTAAAAAAAAACCTTTTGTGCAAAAAATTATATTATTATATAAAAACTCAAACGACTCAACAAAATCTTGATATTAAATAATATTAGCTATATACTACTTGATATTAGCACTATAATAATGCTAGCTCTCTATTTCAGTCGAGGCGACAGGGATAGGGATCGTCAGCGACCTTATTAATTCCCTACCTACATAACAGCCGACTCACCGTCGCTAAAATTAACTTGTACACATTTTGTACACGAATTTCAGTGCTTGTACATTTCGCGAAGCGGAAGTCATTTCTTATACACGTTATGTATACGTTTTCCTTTTCTGTCTTTCTTTACATATAATTTTTTATATTCATAAAAATTTGCATCACTTCATGTTACATTAGCACACAATGACTATCTATATAAAATCAAATGTTTAATAGACAATAGATAAAATTCTAAGTTACATCAACTATACGATTAATTGTATGATTTATTTATTATCCATAATCCTGCCTTGTGATATCCATGCAAAATGAGAAAAGATCTTTGGGAAAATTCATTTATTGAAAATTGGAAATATATATACAGGGTTTTCGGAAAGTACCGGGACGCCCGAATATCAGGAAAAATATAAGTTTTACAAAAAAATGTTTCAGACAAAAGTTGTGGCGTTTAAAAAGATGTATTTACTGATCACATCAGTT